GAAGCTGGCACTACATGGGAAGGTCATGTGGCACTACATGGGGGAGGGCACAGAAACTGCTCCATTTTCTCTGCTGCTTTGCTGGATTAGCCCATTTTATTTTAAATTACACTTAGAAGCACCTAGAACTACCTTTAAAAATCTTTTTGGTCACGACGCCTGTATTTCATCCACACAGCTACCACCACATTTCTCATCAACTGCATGCTGAACTCATCTCTTCCATGCTCTTCTGCCCTCCTGATTTAAGCAAAAACTCTGCAGGAACTGGTCTTCAGCACTAGTGAGTATTGCTCCTGCATTTAGGCTACTCCTGTACCGCTTTCCTCAACTCCTTTGGAGTGAACTGACAAAGGCAAAACATGTCCAGTTTAGAAGCAGCAATAAAAATGCAAGCAGAGCATCAGGCTACGGTACAGTCTGTAACTCTCCAGCAGTTATAAAGTGCTGAACGGGACACTGAAAATGGGTTTATATCCATGCTTCATGCTGGCTGACGGGCCGCTTTCATGAGGCTCCTACCAAGCCTGCCTTGAGGTTAGAAAAACAATTTCTTGCTCAGTAAAAGCTATTTTATAACAAAAAACTCCAACTTACCTGTGCAGCCGTGACTACAACTGAAGCCCGGTTTCCTAGTGGCACTGGTGCCCAGTGATTCATTTCCCAGAGAGGGAGGTGCTGCTTAAGCCAGGCCAGGGCAACGGGCTCATCTCCCTGGCAATAGCAGCTACACAAGCAAAACCTGATCAGCTCTGCGGGCGCTGCTCAAACGAGAGCCACTCTGACATCTACGTAGAGTCATGGAGTTTTTTGCCTCTCTTGAGCCCCTCGACGTCCCCTCTCACTTCTGTGTCAGGCCGGTGTTTTGCCTTCTCTTGAGCCAGCAAGTTCTGCCTCGTTCTCAAAGCAGAACGTTCTGCTAGGGACCCAGCACTCTTAATAACAGACTACACAAACTTGCAGACACATCTTCCTATTAAATCTTTAAATTACAATGTTTTTACCAGGTAACTGGCTTTGGGCTGTTCGAAATTTGTTTCTCAAGGAACCAGTTTTTGTTATTCCCATATACTTTGGCTGCTGTGCAAGATAATTCCCTCTCTGGACCAGGCAGCTGAGCCACTTATTTTTTAGTAAATAATCAGATAAATATATATGGCCTGTCCTAACGCATCTCATCAAGCATCAGTTCCTTGTCTTATTCTGTTAAGCCCCTGGATGTGATTATACTGCAAGAGAAAGCCTGAACTCATCGCTTATTAAATGAATTCTTCATGGTTTATAATTTATCTTATACTTATTGTGATTTGTATCTGGGAATTTTATGTGAATGTTCAGTAGTTTTACGCAGAGCAAGGTATCAGCAAGGCTCACCTACGTGCCTGGATTAAGAGCCTGGTACCCGCCAGGGAGAGGCTGATGCTTCCAGAGGGTGACCACGGACACAAGAGCTTGGAGCTCAGAGCTGGTTCATTTGGATTCTCCGGCTGCAGGGAGCTACCTGCAGGACAAGCACCGCTGCCGAGCGCCCGGATAACAGCCACATTCTGCTGGAAAAAGGAACAGACTCACAGCAGTAATTTCAAGGATAAAATCATTTCCGGAATATTGTGATTACCGAAGGGCAATCACTATACCACTGAGAAGCATAAGATTTAACTTAACATATATTTGGATTTTACTACAGCTTTAAAAGGCATGTGAGCAATTCTGTGTGTCCTACGGATAGGGGAAAGAAGACTGAAAAAAAAAAGCAAGCCCCAACAGCCCATTTGTTATTAATCACAGCTGCCTGGTTACTATCAGATAGCTTAAAGGTCAAAGTCTCTTAAGTGTCTTCGTGACATCCACGGCTGTATCTCCTTCTTGTAAATATATAAATGTCAGACATGCCACTCCCCGGTGTATTTTATTAAGCACTGTTATTTGTATATTAAATGGCAACTGCGAGAATTTCCTCAGTGAAAACTGTGAAATTTCCAGTCTCTTGTCTTCCTAGAAATGACTGGGACGGTGCCTATCAGAGGTAGCATGAACTGAGGGATATTGACGGGGGCAGAGATAACACTCGTCTGGAAACTGAGACAAGCTGCTCCCAGCCTCGCTTCCAGTGCCTTAGGGGTGACTGCTGCTCAGCCCCACACAACCAGATTTTCTCACTGAACCAACTAAAAATAACTTTTTTTCCCTTCTTTTCCCTTTCTGTCATTGTTGGTTTTCAGCTGGAGCAGGGCGCACACCCGGCATACACGAGGGCTGAGCAAGCGAGGCCTCGTGCAAGGAAGGCCACAGCAGCCGCAGGGAGGACAGGTCTCCCCAGGCACCTTCTGCAGCAACTGCAGTCTTAGATTAGCTCCAGTTGGCCACAACGTCCCTCTCTTAGGTACTGGGTTCAGAAAAACGTTTTTGCTTGTTGCAATGAGCAATAAAGCAAATTCAGTGCTGCAGATGTTTGTCTTCTCTTCCTTTTTCAGGAGAAACTGATTTTTTATTCCAGGGGATATTTCAGTTTTGCTGTCATTCTGTTCCTAATTGCATCATTGCATTCAGCAAATGAAACACGTGCCATTCATTAATGAAGGAAGAACCAAACCAAGTATTCTTTCTCTCCCATTATAAAATGGGGTTTACAAGATTTACAAGCTTGTTCAGTACTGGAAGAAAGCAACGGATCTCATCTGTATTGCAAAGTGTGGCTGGGCCATCACTCTGTCTGCCAGAGACACTGCTAGTGAACAGCAAGTGTTATAGCAGAAATACATACAAAGTTATGAAACAAATGAAAGAAAAACCCTCACTTTCAACAGGTTTACATTCTTTTAATGTTTTATTAGCTTAAAACTCTTTTGGATCATCGTCAGTGGAGGGGAGAGGGTTCCCAACAAGCACAGACTATTTTAATACTCTGCATCCTTTCAGCAAGTACTACATGGATGGGCAACAGCAGCTGAAAGGCAGCGTAAGGGCTTTTGAGACTGGCATGAACTGCGCTACAAAGATACTGAAAGTTCTCTACAGCACCCGTCTAGCTGGACACTTGTTGGCTTCTCCTTCTGAATTTATTTCCTCAATATGGCAATGCTGTTTTACATGCCTCAGGGAAATAATTACTCCTGTCTCTGTTAGCTGTGAATAAGGTGGGGGAAAAATTCGTCATTTTTGCTTTGCTTTCTCACTCGCTGTCCCTTCGCCCTGAGCTGTCCTAAACAGAATTACGTCCCAGTTGTCAAAAGCAGTTAAAATGTTGTTACAAATATGGGGAATAAAAGATGCAAAAAACTGGCAAAGTGAGAATATGAATAAGCAATAGACAAGTATGAAAACTAACAAATATGTAATGAACGATGCCTCTCTCACTGCAACTCATACCAGTGCTTAAGTCTCAGAAAAAAATACAATCCCCACCAAATCCACAAGATACAGCAAGCAGCCCAAAAGTTTTGGTTTTCATTTTACTGCAGAACTAAGCTGAATATTTGATACTCGGCTTATGCCAAGTACCCCACTTCTAAGCTCCTCTTGGTATAAGGCTTTGTCACACACGGCCTCATGCAGACTGTATGTTTTTCTCTATCCAAGTCTATCCTTTGTCCTTGAGGCAACTTCCTTCCCAGTCAGTGACGCAACACTTGGGACTTAACTGTCCTTTACAGAAACTACTAGGGAAGTATCAGCAGCCTAATGAATTTTGCCAATGTCCTTATGGCAAAGTGGCTGCATTATCAAGCAGAGAGGTTTTGGCTTATACTATAAACCTGGGGAAATATTACGCTGACTCAAAGCCATGAGTTTTGTCCAGATGGATGGGACATTAACAACATTAGCTGGTGGGAAGAGGTGCACAAGCAGGTGAGTGAGGGCACTCAGTCCAAAACTACGTTATTGCAGGCAGTTATATTCATTTCACTCTTTACAAATAAGAGAAAACACAACAAAGCAGCATTTATGTAACTGAGTCTTCAGAGACCTGAAATCAACAAGAAAATATCTCCAAAGCACCAAAAACTGGGTGTTTAAATCAAAACCTCGCCCATGTCCCAGCAGACAGCGCTACCAGAGGCGGGTGTATGTGCCAGGGATGCCCTGAACCTGGGATCAACAAACAGGGCAATTCCTTCAGCTCTCTTTTCCTTTTCCCTTTCTTTGTTTCCTTTTCCCTCTCCTCTTTCCCTGTACTTGCTTGCACGTGCGCCCACACCACCAGGACCCATCCAGCACATCTCTGCGCAGATGCAAAGCCAGTTTGGGAGCCCTGAGTCTCTGCCCCCGGGCTGAGCCCCCCGGGGCGCCCTCCCCGGCCACCCTCCGCCTCATGTCCGAGGTAACTCCCGCTCTTTGGGGACACGCGGGCGCCGGCGCCGCTTCTCCCCAGCCACGGCGGCCAGCCCTGCCTGCCCGTCAGGCCGTTGCCCCACGCGCCTGCATGGCGCGGCGGCCGCGGCGAGGTGGGGGGGTTATATTTTTGGTTATATTTGGCGCTTTATTGGGACAGG